AGGGGCTGGCATTTCGTTACCCGTAAAACGCGTTTTTTCTAGGGAATTTCCTAGGGACATGTCGGGCAAAAATCCCTCCACCCGGGCCTTAATGAACGGAAGCGTATTTTTCTCGAAAAAAAAAATGAATGGAAGTATGTTTTTTAGTGATCGCAAAATCACATAAAAAGAACACTATCGTCGCCCCCTGTCCGAATTGCCACACCGTGGCACACTGTCAATATGGCGTGGCTAACTGTCACTCACAAGAACACTTATTATAATTTTTTCATACACTGCACACTTCTCAAACCTAATTTCCGACCCGTGAACGCTAATGCACTATTTTTTAAAATTATTCCCGGAACAATTTGACGGCTTCACTCCGCGTAATTAGTAACGCCGCAATTGAGGTGATCAGCTGTCACCATTTATTTTTTATGAATACCGCTGGAACCCGTGGGATGGCGCCACGACAATCTGAAAATTCATAACAGAGAATTGATGAGTTTTGAAGATTATTGAGTGCGAGAGATCAGGGGCGTATTACGATGGGGCCCTACGGGTACCAGCCGCTAGATGATCTCACTCCCAAGCATAGAAATATGGCTAAATGTCGGAAAACAATTCTATCAATAATAATAATAATAATAATAATAATAATATGAATATAGTTATAATAACGATAATAATAATAATAGGTGGGGGTAGGGATCCGATAGAGAGCACCCCTTCATGGAAAAATCTAATTACTCCATTTCCAGTGGTTTCCAGTGACTCTACTTTTGTTGAAAAATTCAAAAATCATTAAATAATTGAGGGGAAAAATCGTCCCGCAAATGTAGGCTCCATCGACTCAGAGTAGTGTAAAACGTCGCGATTTATGGGTTCCTCGGAATCTTTTTTGTTCAATGGTTCTATTTTTCTTAACTTTTTAAAATAATTAATCGGAAACTCCATGAGAAAAGAAAATTTTTCAATGGGGGGTTGACTACCCTGAGGATTTATTATTATAATGAACATATACTCCTAATGAAATTATCCGTCCAAGAATAAGCGCGTTGTCTAAGCGGTAACGTGCGGAGTCTTGCGCAAGCAGCGGTACCGCATGGTCGCGTGGAAAGCCTAAAATTTTTTTAAAACGCGACCAGCTAACTCATATTAAACCGTCACTGTTTTATCCTACTCCCCCATAACGTATTTTGCTCACCATACATTCTCCCAATAGCAATTCACCCCCCAAAGTGAGAATCGCCCCCTCAGCGTTCTCGGGGGCGATAACTCGTGGCAAAATGCCAGCTCTTCCAGGCACCCAACAGGGACGAATCACCACCTCCGTAAAAAAAAAGATGGATCAACAGACCGACTCCACCCGAAAGGCTGTAAAGAACCCGAAGCCTAGACACACCAGCATCACCAGCCCAGCCATTGATATGCAATTCCAAAAATTAATACAAGAATACGGCAGGCCCAGCCAAACCAACGTCGCCCCTAACCTCAATAATGCCAGAACTCAGCTGGCACACTCACTCCACGATGACCCGGTTGCCGACGGCAGCCAAAGCAACGAGAACGACTGGACCTTTCCCAAGAAGCCAGTCAGGCCCAAGAGCACCGACCCGATCCGGAACGTCAATTTAGAAAGCGCAAACTGCTTCGGCGCCCTCAGCGACTCCGATGAAATGGAACACTCCGACGCCACAAATCCTGGACAACCGCAGCAAAGCCGTCAAGACCCCCACAATACACCAGCTAAGAAAATCAGGCCACCCCCTATTCATCTTCAAAACACCACGATCACCGTTACAATCGCCATCCTCAAAGCCCTTACGCTGCCCAACCACTCCTTCCACGTAAGGCAAGATAGTGAAACCAACACAGTCACCATTTCCACATCGCAGATGGACGCCTTCGAGACAATCATCAACTGCCTCAAAGAAAAGAATCTTCAGTTCTACACGTACACTCCCAAAGCCCTGCGCCCCAAATCCATGGTTCTCAAGGGCATCAATGGTGACTTCAGCGAAGATGACATGCTCAAAGAAATTAATGATCTGAACCTAAAAAATGTCAACATAATAAAGATCACAAAAATCTCATTCAGCAGGCCCGAACCTTACCACCACCACCTTGTCCAAATAACGCATGACAGCTACGTCACAGAACTCACCAAAGTCAAAACTCTGGCATACCAACGCGTTAGATGGGAACACCACCGCAAAAAAACAATTTTCCAGTGCACAAAGTGCCAACGCTTCGCGCACGCCAGCACAAATTGCAACCTCCTTTTCAGATGCGTAAAATCCAGTGAGTCACACGATCCCGGTAAATGCCCCATCGCCTACAACTCTAACAGGCTTGAGCTAAAATGCATCAACTGCGGCCAGAATGGACACCCGGCGTCATACAGAGGATGTCTTTACTACAAGAGCGCTTTATCCCTGCTGAAGCAGGACCTCCAGACCACCCAAGACAGAACCCAAAGCAAACTTGCCCGAGCCAGCAAGCTCGTCACCCCGCAGCTGTCTTACGCCCGCGCAAGTTCGCCCCCCCCCCGGCAGCTCAGGAGCCCCGCCGCAACGTCCAACAACACAACCACAAGACCCCAACCCTCCAACATCCACAGAATCAGCCTACCCCGAACCAAAGCTGGTTAGAGAGCCTGAAAACTGACATTAGCCTGATATTCAGCAAAATTACGGAACTTAAAATACAAGCCATCGCTGACCTCGGAGGCTTCGAAACCCAGGCACAGTAATGGATAATCACCTCAATCCCACAGCTGATCCCTTACCCCCCAGACCTATGGATCCACAGCAGCAAACCAGCCTTAAAATAGCCGCAATAAATGTGAACTCCCTGGTATCCCATCAGAGGAGGAACTACCTCTCTCACTTCGCAAAAAGTCATCACCTTGATGCAGTCCTCATCTCCGAGACCAAGCTGAACTCCAGGCATAAATCAGTCTTCTCTGAATACACTCTCTACCGCACCGACAGACCTAACGCAATACAAGGTGGAGGTACTGCAATCTTTGTCAGAAACACCATCTCACACACTGTAATCACACACCCTAGCCCAGCTGTCAATACCATCATCGAGTACACCATCATCAAACTCAAAATGGCTGAAGATAAACACTTATACATCATCAGCTTATATGCCTCCCAGCGTTCCCGGATCAGACAGAATTTTACCAATGATCTCAACCAGATATTCTCTGAGCTCAGGCTGGACCGCTCCAAAAACTTTTTCATCGTGGCAGGTGATATCAACGCGAGGCACACCTCCCTATGAGACTCCTCGAACAAGGTCCATGTGGCTGCATTAATTGACTGGTACACCATTAATGCACCCTTCTATAACTGCACTCTCCTCGCTGCCAGCACACCCACATACACCCCAGCTCAAACCTACCTGGATCACTGCATCATCGACTCCTGGCTCAACATCACCAACTTGCTGAATAATAGACTAGACACCACCATCTACGAGAGCGACCACAAGGCACTTCTAATCAATATCCAGCTCGACCAATCATCCGCTCTACACCCGGAAACACCTCCCCAACCCAGGCACATATTCGAGGCAACCAACTGGACCGAGTTCACTTCTCACCTAGGCCATAACTATAACTCCAAGGTACCTAGCAATCGAAACCTCGATCAAAACGAGATTGACAACTTCCTGCTCCCCATCAATAACAGCATCACACACGCAATAGATAACAAAGTCCCCAAAGCCACTACCACCAGCAACACTCAAAAACATATTACCCAGCGAATTAAGCAGCTAGATAAGAAAAAATCCTCCCTTCTCACTTTCCTACACCGATTGCGAGCCAAGGATCCCCGGGGCAGAAACGCAGACACTAAAACGGCCAAACTTCTCCTAGCACATACCCGAGAGGACCTCAACATCGAATTCTCCGCAGCCATTGAAAAACATTGGAGTAATACCTTCAAAAAAATCAATCACAGGGACTCATCGAAATTCATGCCATCAATTAATAGAATATTCCGCCCAAAAACTAATTCTGGACCAGCGGATATCCATATCCCCGGTGCTAACATCTCCATCTTACACAACTCCGGTAACCCTCTTGATAGCTCCCCCCTCTGCAACGATAAATATGTCTTCACCGATCCTACTAGCAAGCTAAACGCAATAGGCGCCTTCTATGAATCCATTAACTCGCCACGACACCTCAACGACGGCACTCGCCTCAAGGAAATTATTGACGCACAAATCTCACTCTTTAAACGATCCAGGGAAGAGCACAAAGCCAACAACAGCTGCATTACAACATTCAACAGTACTAACCGAGCAAACAACCCCAAGACTGACAGCCTCGAAAGCTACTTCACCACACCAGCAGAAATAGAGGCAATAATAAAAAAACTCCCAAACAAGACATCCAGTGGTATCGACAAAATTCCAACTGTCATAATCCGGCATCTTCCGCTCAACATCATCAAAGATTTCACAACCCTCATCAACAACGCACTTAACATTAACTACTTCCCCAAGATCCGGAAAGTAGCACAGGTGATGCCAATTTTGAAGAAGGAGAAACCCAGCGAAGATCCCTCCAGCTATCGCCCCATCAGCCTCACATCCAATCACAGCAAGGTTTATGAAATTGTTATCAACAACCTAATCACGAGGCACTGCAACCAGAACAAGATAATCCCCGACGACCAGTTTGGATTCCGACGCCACCATTCCACCACCCACGCCGTTCATAAATTCCTCGCCGACGTTAATAAAGCCCTCTACCTCAAATGCATGGTTGACGCCACACTCATCGACATCAAAAAAGCCTCCGACTCCGTCTGGCTTGATGGGCTTATATACATCACACAACCTCATCAAGAAAAAATTTCCCACCAACCTGATTAGGTTCATCTGGGATATGATCAGCGACAGGACGTTCTACACAACGGACGGAACTCACTCATCTAGCAAACGCTTCCGGATTCTGGAAGGCCTCCAGCAAGGTACCGTAAACTCATCATTTCTCTTCTCCATATTCACCGGCGACATTCTCAACTCATTTGGCCTCAACTCCACCAATAACACACACTCAATCGCCTATGCCGACGACCTGATCATCTATGTGGTAAGAAAAAAGTTAAGAGCATCCAGCCGACTCTTCCAACCCTTGTCAACAAAGCGAACAACTTTTACGCAATGTGGAACCTTCGCATGAACCCCCTTAAGTGCGAGACCATACTCATCAGAAGACCAATCCAGGAGACTAATAAATGCAACCTACCCGGAATCAACGCTCTAAACATGTCGACCTTCAAACCGGACACCAGGACAGAAGTGACAATCCCCACCAAACAATCAGTTAGATACCGTGGGGTCCACATTGACCATCTGGCCCGCTTCTCCATCCATGTCAGTACCCAGCGGAAAAAAGCAGAAATCATGTTCCACTCGCTAAAGCGCCTCTTCCACAACCAGCTTATCTCGCACCGTGCCCGCCTAATATCCTACCTACTGCTTGTCAGACCCCTCCTAACCTAGGCCTGCCCAATTTGGTGGAACATGTCCGCCTCCATCATCGAAAAACTCTAACTCCTCGAACGAAAGTGTATCCGCGCGGTTCTCCATAAAAACAGGTCACCACACTCTCACTACCGGCGCAGGATCAGCAACCAGGCCCTCTACGACGAAGCAGACATCCCCAGGATCGACAACTTCTTAATAAAACTCACTAGAGATTACTTCGTTCAACTCACAAACATAGACAATAGCATCATCAGATATCTTCATGCACCTGGGCAAGCTCGGCATAATCCAGGACGCCAGAAATACCCCCATACTCTACCACCTCCCCAGGCACCCATCCAACAAATAAATCCCGCTCCAAGACGCCGGCAACCTCCCAATAAAATTCTCCACGGCAATACCGCGCCGTGACTCGCTTGACAATCACCGCCTCAGCCACTCATACAAATGGCTCGACGACGACGCTAAGCACATTCCCGAGCTAGCAATCAGGCTGAGCCATCACCCCAGAAACGCTGCAGCCCCCCAGCGCCACTGCACCAGGCTTTAGCCCAAAAGTGACAGACGGATGGCTGCTCCCGTCACCCTTTATCGTCCTATGTATATAGTTGTACATAGTAGGTTTACTCTAGCTCTTAAGTTCCACTCAAGTCTCGTGGTTTTTTTTTGTGCCACACGGGCCGAATTTTTTCCACGTCCATCGCTTATGCGAAATACTGTTTCATCGAATCTTATTCACCCAATCAAAAATACCTCCCACACCTCTAGCCCGCAGTCGGCTCATACTGATGATGAGCGAGATGTCCTCAATAGACCACCTTCGTCACTACTTTATGATACACTAAAGCTATGTTTTTTTCAAGGAGTTAATTTAAAGCTTATCATTTCTGTAATAATAAGGATTAAAATAAAGAAACTCTAAAAAAAAAAAAAAAAAAAAAATTGACGACGTGCTTGACTAACACGTGGACGGCTCGAGTTCGATCCCAGCCAGTATTCATTTTTTTTTTCATCGAAATAATTCTAATTGTTTTTTTTTGTATATGACTAATCATCAATCGAATTACCATCTCATATAGTTTTTAAACTATATTAGGATTGATGATTAGCCATGCATATACAAACAAAACAATTAGAGTTACGTTACGTTATCCACGAGATAACTGGGCACGTTGGCAAACGGTTTTTTTTAATGGAAATTGTTATTATTTGTAATCTAAATACGAAAATCATATGTTAATGCAGTTTTCAAATAACAATGAATTTTTGTCAATTCCAATCAGTGAATTTTCGTGGCAATATTTTATCCCAAGGTAACTTCAGTGGTTGGCATTGACAACAATTCATTTTTATTCCAAAACCGCATTAAAAGCTGGTCATCTAATTCACATTACAAATAGGAACAATTTTCTTATATTCATTTAAGAAAAGTGTTACTATGAATTTCTAGGAACATTGAAAATGTGTTTATTCAACAGTTTCTTCACAAAGCTTCGATAATATAATAATATAATCGTTCTTGAAGTTATGAAATAATTTCTGATTCTTCTCTTTTTTTTCATTTTTGATACGATCTCCTGGTCGTTGTATCCAATCAGCTATTTTCCCCTGAATTGCCAGTTAAACATGAGGTTTTGAGGTCTCCTTGCATCGCTCGATCCCCACCTTGATATTAATAGCAATAAAAAATATTAAAATATGGTTGATTCTCATTTAAAAAAATGCTATGTGAGGAAGTCGGAAACAGTATTAGTTGTATCCGTCGACAGTGCAATATTTTTAAGTTTTCCATGAGTTCGATGTCTTGCCAGTCCAACAGCAACGTTTTTTTCTTCTATATGAAATAAAATGAATAGAACATGTGTAAAATGGTACAAATGTAAAAATATGGGGAATATCATTGACTTTTATCTGAAAGATATCAATAATCTGCTGCTGAGAGGTGACGTGAAATCCTGGAACTTTCATTCTCCCTGCCAATCCCATGTCGTCGTTGTTGTGCTCCTCGCTATTCAAGAACTCCGAGGAAGTTCTAATGAATTTCTCCTCAGTGTTATCCTCCTCTGCGCAGCCTTCACGATGCTCGTGGCAGTCAGCTTTGCTTGCTTGATGATGCTGAGAGGACAAACGAGGTGGGAGCCTGTTGCGTCCGAGACTATGGGTAAATGCTGATAAGCTGGTCCCTCGAGCTCGAAGAGCTGCTACTTGGAATCAGCACTCGACTGATTACTCATAATTTTTCTCTTGGTGAGGTTATTATCATCTATCTACCTCCCAGTCTCAGCCGGCATCTACAGTAGATAAGGCTAGCTAGGATAAAATTTTGATTTAGTTTGGAGAAAACTGTGGGGCATTTAGGTCTAGACGTCAGGAGATTATTCGCCACGAATGGCGTCCACCTCTGGAGATCATGGATTTCCCTCCCGTCCTTGTCCTCAGGCCATCCTGAGGATTGTAGAGCTTGACGAACGTCCTCATCAGACGGATGTGCTCTCCAGAGTGGATTGAATGATGATGGGGAAGAGGGGACAGGACAATTGGCCAAAAAAATAAAAAAAATCGTTAATTTTGACTATATGAGACGGTGTAACATCTTTATTACCATTTTTATCAATTTTAAGAAATGTTTACAGTTGTTTTCAGGATTTTATGTTTCTATCGGCGTATCATTTTTACTTTTCTTTAAACTGAAATACACATTCGTACAATTATCAGGCTTGTGTATTAATGTAAACTAATGTTAATTCAATTAAATTAAAATTTTTGAACACACGTAACAATCGTATGTAAATTTTTTGATATAACTCCGATACATATAAGGCAATCAACTGCATCAACCTTCTTAATTTTTCGTCTGAAACTTTTTCTGTCAACGATTTCGAGGTCGTATGGTGACCCAGCTGTGCCCAACTGCTTGCAGTATAGACACTCGAGAAGTCCTGCTGGTAGCCCATTCTGCCCCTCCAAGCGATGGACACATTGCTCACAGAAAAACACATGTCTACAATTTTGCCCCATGTTCGTGATCTCGGCACCTGCACAAATCTGGCATAGCCAGTCGAAGTCAATACCTGTAGACAGAAAGGTTTATATGATGCTGGATTAATTATCTTATAGCTCAGTGGAGATACAATAACACTGTTCGAAAGGGAAAAGGATGGGAGGCAGATCCGACTGAAACAGGAGTGAAAGAAGGCCAAAGAGAGCATTCCCTTGGGTTTTTATCATTTCAAGAAGTTACTAGTAGGCTCTATGGTCATTTAAATGTGTTACCTGGCTCATTGCTTGGGGTATGAAAACGCGTTCAAAATTTTAGGTCCTCTGCATGCAGTAGGGGCACTCCATGACGACAGGGTGATCTCCACGCCTCGCATCGCGACGTGCAATTTCTGCACAATGTTGGCACATACAAATGCAATGGCATGGGCATGATATGACACTCACAGGTCGTGCATTACACACCATGCAGCAACTCTCATAACCATTCCCGTTTCGTATGGCCTCACCATCATCGTTCTCCTCTGCCAGTGCTGAAATTTTTACTATTAATGAAGTATTTAAAGAATAAAAACAAGACTTCACTTTTTCGATGAAATAACCTCTTTACCTCCATCGTTTGCTAGCTCCTCAGCATTCAATTGTTGATCATCGACTGCTACGATACGACGTTGACAAGCTTCATCCAAGTTCATCTCTCTTTGCAAATTTACCATTGGAATTTCTCCATTGAAGTCCGGAATCTCATTAACCTGCTGAGGTGGTTCCAATGGAGGACCACTATTAAAATGTCCCTGATAGATTAGGTCATTGAGACATTGTGTCGCAGCATTCGATCCGATATTTAAACTCTTAAGGGAGATATTTCATTTGCAAAAATACGACGGATTAAACGCGCCCGTAGGTAGGTATTGACAGCAGGACTGACAGAAATGCCCCTAATTGCTTCTGCATTACCCGTCCTCAGCGTGTTGCTGTCTCGGCAACTTGACCTCAAAATCTCCAAAGTTTTTTCTGTGAATAACACCAAAATTCCATAATTATATGGTTATATTATAGCTGACGAATAGTATCAATGATCTATTTTTGCAAAATCTAGCCGAACTCCGCAAATATTGAACAAAACTCCGGCAATAAAATTAAAAACGAAATATTTGGCCTCGGAACATGACCGTTTTTCGAAGTTTTTCTCGATTATGAGGGTTTTAGTATCTTCTGCGGAACGAATACAGTGAAGAGACACCATTATTGGCTGTAAAAATGCGATTTTGAAAAAAAAATCTTTTCACTGCAGCCTAAAACGGTTCTTATTCATTCTTCCTTTCTCTGTCGATTTTGAGGAATTCTAGTATAATAACAATCGTTATTACTCACGATAGAAGAACCATATGCCAGGTTGATGCTCTTGGTGAACTTAGTCTAACAGTAAAAGGGGTACTCGAATTGCAACGTCGATAAATAAATCGAGCCTGCCATAGAAAGCAGTGTATCGCTCGTTTATCTCGCCGACGAAAATTCGATAGCACCATTGGAGCATTGGCATAAATGTTTCTTGAAGATTCAATCGGATGACTGCCGCTCTGATGCCCCACCAAAACCGCTGTTTTTCTTCAGAGCGAATAGTGCTAAGCATTAGCAATTTTTAAATTATTGCCAATTGTTGCACATTCTCGGAAGTTATAGCTGGTATCTGCAGCGTATCGTAAAATCACCTTATGACCAAACGAATTGAGATGAATTGTAGTTGAATGAATAATGATTGCAAAACAAAATACAAGGCGGCGCAACCGACAGAGAGAAAAGATCATCGTTACCAAGCAGGTGTGTGGGAATGTTGTCCTTACTTCAGACCCAAGCCATACGGCCTCGACGCTATTAATCATTCTCCAATTGAGATTTGTTACTATTTGTGGAGGATCAATGGTGGGTACTAATTCACGCCGAATAAAATGGAGCACATCGCGAAGAATGGATAGGGAAAACTCGTTTAATAGACCCCATCGAAAGGAGATCGCCTGACAAACATCCATCGATAAAATATATAATTTAACAGAAAATGTAAAATAACATATGCCACTCAGGTGTTAATTGCGTCTTTGATACGTGGAAGTGCAAACCTTGGGTTGTAAACCTCACACGAGTGGAAGACTAAATTAACGCCCTTACAACGTAATATACTATTTCAAGGCTCACTCGATTTCCAGTAATAGCTGTTACTGTCAACACTGCTCGATTGTTAGCGAAGTCTGGTATGGCTGCAGTACTTAGGCTGATATCCAAAGTTTGAACGTTTCGTAGTGTTGCAGCAATGGCCGGATCTCCGTACATTGCAGCAGCATTGCCATCATCATTGGTGAGGACGTATCTGCCCATTGTTGTGAAGTAGTAATTCTGACCACTCCTGTTGCTCAACGATTTGTTGGAGCTCCATATAGCTCCATATAATTATAATACATCAATATACATGAGTGGAGATAGGAGGAATGGGTTGAGACTTTATCTCTGTGACACAAAAACGTTACGGAAAAAGGGGCAAAATTCAAATTTTCCAAAAATTTTGAGTAATATAAAAAAAAAACAGAAAATATAAATTTCCACTTTTTCAGTTTTCAATACTACTAAAATGTTTTGAAGGATTATCAGAACGTAAGAAAATGGATGAATTTTCAACAAAAAGTGATTTTGGTACAACGTGAAAGGATAGGCTATCTTACAAAAAAATTAACAATACTTTATTCAATGGTACGTGCGAATGATATATGAAGTATGGGTTTTTACGATACATCATGCGTAATCTTGCGTAATCAATAATGTATAGTGAATTAAACTGACTCTAGTGCTATGTCGTTATAAGTCTGCTGAAGAGATTTCCCCAATTGATGCCCTGCAGCTCGATATAGACCTCTTCTAAAAGCACAGCAGCAATCATAACCGGTGCAGCAGCTTGACTGTGTATAGTGTGGTGACGTGATGGCCTGAGAACTCCATGGATGATTTGCCCTGTTGCCAAACATCCTCTTCGTCGTTCGGCACACCGTACATCAGTAACCTCACCACTGTACAAAAATCGAATTTCAAGAACTCACCAGCTTTTTTTTTGGTTTTATGCAAATTTGGAGATAATACACCATCTCGATATTTAAACAAACAAGCTTTGAGTCGGTATGCAATATTTTTATAAAATTCGTCAATTTTATTTATTTTTGAAATTTGTTATTGATTGTATTTATTTTTGTTTCGTTTCGGAGGAATTATAATGTGGAGAATTTCATCGATAAGAAAGTTTCGGTAAGAAAAAGCCATTTGTTTTTTCTGGATACTAAATGAATTAATACTCTGGGAATTGGCGGCCGGAGGCCGAGTTCCGTGAAACCCCTTCTTTTCGCATTATTTTTTTTTCACGCGCCATGCCGGGCTTATTATTACTCCCGTTATTTGGTGACTTTTTTGTCGATCATGTATACATTTTATCCATTTTTATTTCAACTAAAATCTATACATTATCCACAAATAATAGATCAAATAATAGCAGCGATATTGAACCCTGCATGGCGCGTGAAAAGGCAATGTGAACGGAAGGTGTTTCGTGGAAGTCGGAATCTGGCCATGAATTCCCAGAATGTTGTTTTATTTAGTTTTCAGAAATTGCCAACGGTTTTTTCATATAGAAATTTGCTCATTTCCATGATTTGTAACGGGCACAAGAATGTCTAATGACAATTAAAAATAAATGATCGCCCGAGAAATGCGATTGAACTTCGAATTATCTCATATCTGAATTTTGTAATGAAATCACTAATGCAGCCAATGGACCTATGAGACCTCACAATCGAATACATAAATGAAATAAAAAGAGTCATCTTCAAAAAATGATTAAAAATTAGGATGTACTTACTAACGACGAGTGTGCCTAATCCGAACGATATGCCATGCGTTGTTATTGATAATCATTATATTATCCAGCCTTGGATGTGCTGGCACCGCAGGGAGATCAGCCATGATAATTTCGTCGTTGTATCTGCACTAGCACTTCTCGATTAACCCAGCGATAAGCGACTAAACTTTTTCTTCAGATTTTTATTGGCACTTACTTCAAGTCTTGCGGACGGAAAACGAAAAAGGTGCGCTTCTCACTAATTTTTGGTGATAGGGATGAGGGGTAATTGTCATCGTCGCTTATTGGTGGATTATGAGCATGCGCGAAAAAACCAGCCAATGGTATCTGTCTACCAAAGATCGTCGGATTCGTTGAAATTTCCAAATTTTAGTGCGCAAAGACCACAACTCGTCGATTTATTTGATTTTCCAATCTGTTATGAATATTAAACGCGAAATTGGATTGAATTCTCATTGAAATCCCTAATTTCATGAACGGGAATAAGGTGGATGGGGAGGAGGAGGGCGCTGGTTTCACGAAGCACAGGGTCGAGAAAGGGGAGGAAGGGGTTGACAGGCGATCCTTTGGGGATGACAGGCGGAACTTCGGAAGGAACTCCTTCGAAGGACAAAACAGAAAGTTTTTTAATGAAAATAATTCATCCTCTGTCCAGAATCACTTTTAATGATTGAAAAAGGCGCCCGTGGCTTGTGAGGAGAGAAAGCGAATCTAGGCCTGAAGTACACCAAGGAGAAACCATTCAGACACCAGAAAAAAACACTAAAACGTGGTGCCTACAGAAGTGGACAGATTGACGTTTCTGGAAATTCATTAAAAAAGACGGTTATACTCAGCCCTTAATTATTCCTCTATTATAGAGATTTCAATGGCTGTTTACAATCGGTCCATAATTACTTTATCAATAACTCGATATATTTCAATCATTATGACAGATCAAATTAATTTACTGTTCCAATTAGAGACACCGAGGCAGCGCAGCCAAGTATTGACAATTGGAATGAGCTTGGCCCACGATTGGTTCACCAATGATTGGTGAATGAGTTTGGTCCAAATTTGAGTTAATGTTGGCGCCAGGTTTCAACCAACCTTGACATATATTGAAGTCCCAAGATTGGATCCGAAACATGGCTCAGCGCAGATCATACCCTGGCTGCCATCCCTTGACTAACAGGTGGCTCCCTAGTGCGACCCAGACCTGGTCATAGGTTCCCTTCCAATCATTTGCTTACCAATTATTCATCAAAATATGTTCACGCTCACTAAAATCAATGACTTATAAATCTGATTTTAGTATGTATATTGTTGCCATTAATTGTTTTATTTGAAATTTGAAAGTCATTTTGGGAGGAAAAGAAACTAATAAGGGAAAAGGCACAAGTGGGAGTGGAGGAACCATTTTGCTTCCCAATACAGTTGTGCACTGAGTGTTCATAACAAGAGCTTACAGAACCTGAAAGTGAGTACTTATGCATCAAAATTATAGGGATGTTTTAGATTTCATGTTCATTTGGCAAACACACAGTACATGACACCATCAATAACGTAGCTAAAACTTGGATTTAGCCTAAAAAAAAACAAACTGTCAAACCCATAAATACCAAATTTTCCTCAGAAGTATCCTGGTAAGTTTTGTTTATATTTTATATATGTGTTAGCATTCAATTTATTATTATTCTAATGAATGTTTTTTTTCAGAACTGTTTTTGATGATTTTTTTTTTTAAACCGTGGATGTGAA